CACTCAGCTGATGGTCATTAAGCTCCTCTCCAGACTATAAAAGAGACTGCTTGTGCCACGTCCTTCTTGCAGAAGTTAACGCTTGGACTAAAGAGAAACGAACTTGGCAGGCTGGATTGCTGCCAAGGTTTGTCAGACTTGCTGCCAAGGTCCTTATCTGTTTGTTTATTTGGCTTTCAACCACTGAGAGTCTGGTCTTGTTATTAAAGGACATTCCATTTTACGCTTGTCTTGGCTTTCGTTACTGGACAGAGGAGGGGGTCAGAACAGGTATATATGTTGAAATATTATTTACGTAAAGAGATGAGGCAAAGCAATTGGCATTTAATAAATTATCATGCACATGATAATTATGCAGTCTCTCTATATAGAAACAAAATATTACTTGGAGTAAGTAATCATATTACTCTAAATCAGGCATTTCCAATCTTTTGGCTTGCCTGGCCGTCCATCGAGTAAAGAGGAATTATCATGGTGCTGAATATAAAATATATAAAATAACTATGGCTAAAAATCACATAATAATGTTAAAAGCTTATATTATTATGAGGCACTAGCTGTTCAGGGTCGCATACAGCCCGTGAGCCCTGAGTTAGATATGAATGATCTAAATAATTATCTTGTTTAGCTCATCTGTAGCTTACCATATTTATGGCTGAGTGTGTTGTCTGACTTTTTGTAAACTATTGTTAAAGTAAACCATGGTTCAATTCAAGAGGATGCCAGTCACTATATAAAAGTTAGACAATTGTTATAAGCTTAGATTTAAGAAAGCATGAAATAAACTTACAGGTATTTCCAAATATTTTATGTATAGCTGTGTTAGTTTTTCCACATACATATTGTCGCCCGGTATGATAAAAACAAACAAGATTCTTTCTAATTAGAAATTAAAATGATTCATGTTATAATGAAATGTGTTTAGATCTATTGAAAAAAAACACAGCCAGAAATATCAACAACGAAATGTATGTTTAAATAAAAATATCCTTTTTTGTCTATGTATGCACTCTTAGACTGTTTGATTTAAGAGAGCAGCATTTACCAAGAAGATTTTAAACAAACTGACCATAAAGTCTTCTTTTTTTTTTTTGGTGGCCTTATAGAATATTTTGAGGGACATTTTGAGAACTCAGTGGCTAAGACACTGAGCTTGTCAATCAGAAAGGTTGGCAGTTCGGTGGTTCGGATCCTAGTGCTGCGTAATGGAGTGAGCTCCTATTACTTGTCCCAGCTTCTGCCAACCTAGCAGTTTGAAAGCATGTAAAAATGCAAGTAGAAAAGTAGGAACCACCTTTGGTGGGAAGGTAACAGCGTTCCGTGTGCCTTCAGTGTTTAGTCATGCTGGCCACATGACCATGGAGACGTCTTCGGACAGTTCTGGCTCTTCGACTTTGAAACAGAGATGAGCACCCCTCCCCTAAAGTTGGCAACTACTAACACATAGTATGTGCGAGGGGAACTTTTACCTTTACTTATAGAATATTTTAAACCATTTGTTTTTAATTACCTTATTTTCCCTGTCAAAAAACTAGTGTTTTATAACTGGTTGAATATGACATAAAAAAAAACCTGAAAACTTCTCATTCTATTAATTGTGTTTCTTCTCCCTTTGCCTGGCACACAATCATTTCTGCTTTGGGGACAAAACTATTAAAACATTGGGAGGGACGATTCGTGTCTTGTGCATAATTTAGAACCCAGTCAATCTGCCAGTCATGAATAATCTCAGCTTCTAGCAAAGGTAATGAATTCCCTAAATACCATCATGCAATTGCGATATGACGCGCCCCGTTATAAATATTCTTGTCACTATGCAACAGCTGGTTGTTAGGCAATTCAGAAGCAAGGAAACTGATAAGTTCTTCTTGAGAACAGTAGTTGATTAATTCTAGCGTTATCACACCACTAGCTTCCAACCTATCTCCGCATTAAATTATTAATCTCATTGCACCAGTCTATAAAATAAAAATGGGAAAGGAGTAAAATACATTAACCATGTAATTATATTTATCTGCTGCTGTTTTAATAAATCAGGATATGCTTTGAGATATGCTTTATACAGACTGGCTCAGCTATCTTATAGAATCCCACAGAAATTGGTAGAAAAGAGAATGACAAGCATCTTGTTACCAAAATAATGGTAATATATTTGGATTTCCTTATCTGGAAGGCCCTTTGCACGGGGTAGACTGAGAAAATATGAGGTGTGACTAAGAATAAACAATATTTTATTACTAAGTTGTAAAAATGTCTTCGATCATTTGGAAAATACATTATGATGGGAAAATCTTCTTGCTTTCTCACTTGTTTATATATTAAGTTTATATCCTGCCTTTCCTTCAGGTGCTCAAAAGAGTGTTTATAGCGCACCCTCCTGCTATTTCCCTTCACAATGATCCTGTGAGGTAGGTTGTGCTAAGGGAAGGAGGGAGAGAGAAAGAGAGAGGGGGGAGGAGAGAGAGCGGGGGACAGGGAGGCAGAGACTGGCCTTAAGTCCTCAACGAAGCTTTCATGGATGAGAATATATTTTATTTTATATTTACTGTTCTGATCTAGAGCAGTTGTTGAGACTCTAGAAAGAGTGCAGAAAAGAGTAACAATTATATCAGATCTGGAGACTAAATTCTACAATGAATATGCTTAGTATGCTTACTACAATGAAGAGTAGGACTAGGAAGTGACATGATAGCAGTTTTTCAATATGTGAGGCGCTGTCACAGAGAATAGAGAGATCAACCTATTCTCCAAAGCACCTGAAGGCAGGACAAAAAATAATGGACAGAAACTTTTCAAGGAGACCCAATGTAGAACTAAGGTGAAATTTCCTGTCAATTAGAACAATTAATCAGTGGAATAACTTGCCTTCAGAAGTTGTGGGTGCTCCAACACTGGAGAATTTTGAGAAGAGACTGGACAGCCATTTGTACGCAATGTCATAGGGTCATGATGACGAACCTATTGCACATGTGCTACAGATGGCACAGGAGCCATTTATTAGGGCACGCGAGGCGTTGCCCTGTCAGCTGGCCAGTGGACATGTGCGTGCTGGCCAACTGACTTCGGCCTTATTTTGAAGCAATTTTTTGCCCTCCAGAGGCAAAAAGGCCTCTGAAGCCTCCAGGGCGCAAAAATTGGTCCTACAGGCAAACAAGAAGTTCAAGAACAGACTTCCAGTTTGCTTGTAGGGCTGATTTTCGCCCTCCGGAGTCTTCAGGAGCCTTCTCTAAAGGCTCTGGAGGGCAAAAAACGGCCCTATGAGCAAACCGGAAATCGCATTATGGGTGTGGCATGCCCGTGCACAATCCCCCTGCACTCCCCCAGCTTTTGGCATATGAGCCACAAAAGGGTGTGTAGTTTTTAACTATACACCTTCCTTTGTGCTGCTATTGTAATAACAGCATGTTTGAATATATGCAAATGCAATCCACCTGTAGTCATTCACTTCCACTGCTTCTGAACTCAACTCAGTATTGTTATAATTATAATCCTCCTATTTTCCAAGTCACTGCTAAACCCAAAACAGACCACATAATGTAGGAGAACATGCATTCATTTTATACAATTGAGCAACATCTGTTTCAATCACAGAGGCAAGCTAGGTTCAAGTACATCTTTAGTTTGTTAAGGGATAAAATGATGGGGGATCCCTCTTTTGATCTGTCTCTCTCTCTTAGAGAAAAAATTGATATGTAATAAAAATAATTGGTCACAATTCCACAGAATATTAGGTGTCATATTCCAAGGTGACTTCCTCACTTTGGGAAGAATTTCAGGAAATCCAATGGACGCCTCAATAAAAGCCAAGTGTGTTAGTAGTCTTATATCTCCATCCCTGCTACATTTCTTGTAACTCTAATGGTATATTGCTAATACCACTTTACAAAATGCGTAACTTTTCCTATATAGCCAAAATGAGAAATGTGAAATATCTCTTATACTTATATCATAAATTGGCTTCATTGTTACTATAATTTGGCATATCCAGAAGAACTTTTCTCTTTATCTGGAATTAGGTTAGCTGATGGATAGATCCATTATGTAATATGGAAATAAATACACTTGTAGTTTAATATGTAAATAATTTTTTTTACATGTTTTAGGTTTTCTAAATCTTGCCTTGAAGCAAATATTTTAAATGTCATTTTGTGCAGCATCTCTGCAAATAGTGTTAAAGCTTTTACCATGAACTGTATTATAAAGGCTTCATTTATTCAATATAAAACAAGTATTACATATGTCTATTCAACTAGTAGACGAAGTGGAAGTCTTTAAGTCCAATTTAAAAGAAAGTCCACAAGCATTTTTAAAAGCAGCACGACCTCCAAGTTTGGAGGGTAGGTTTTTCTTAACAGATGGGCTCCCTAGTCAGAACATTTATAGTTTTTTTCCCTTTACTCAGTAGGTCGCTTCCTCAAGATAGATATCAAGATACTTATTTCATGTGTTTTTAATTGCTGTTAAGTAAAACAGACATGGAACATTAAAAGATGGATTATAGTTTTCCTTTGTTCCAAATCCTTATCAGACCACAGCAGGTGCATACTTATCGTGATGCAATTTAAATGAGTCACCATATGTATAATCATAGCTGTAAAAGTAAATGCAACATTAAAATTATTTTAATAATATATATGAAAGCTGGTTATTTCAGTATTCAAATGTTGGCATGGCCTGATGGGGGAAGAAAGAGTTATATTCATACGTTCTACATGGTGCCTGTCTTAAGAGACTGATGTTAGCTGTGTTCTTGTTTCATCAGAGGAAGCGTAAGAGTGGAAGGAAGCAACCCATTGTAACTCTGCCTAGTGGGGCATTCTAATTGACTCTGAAGTCATTAATCAGCTTCCAATCAATCTATTCTACCAACAGCAGGCAGTTAGATGTCCATTACCTTCCATTTATCATGCCATCACCTAATTCACTGCACCATTAGCCACAGATTAGGTCTCAGGATAAGAGCGTCAGCTCCCCACCCTCCAAAGACTCCTGTCACTCACCTCAGCCACTGGAATTCCTTCAGGTGGGCGACACTGAAGTAGGACTTCTTGCTCCAAAGATACTTCCTTTCCTAATGGTTCCTGTTCAAAAGTTTTCCGTAAATCTAAGATGGGAGGAAAAACATATTTAAATATACTATTTGTTAAAGATAGAGATTTTTTTTCCTCACAATTGTATCTCCAGGACTAATACATGGATTGCAGTTGTTTTAAGTTTTGTGAGGCTGCTTCTAAGGTATACAAATATTGTATACAAAAGTAGAAGATAAGAAAGAAAGAAAGAAAGAAAGAAAGAAGAAAGAAAGAAAGAAAGAAAGAAAGAAG